AGTCGGTAAAACTGTAGTTAATACAGTATTAACGGCAATCAATAGTAAAGTACATTATATTGTCGAGACTAAGACGAAATAATTAAGGAATTGTGCATTATCAAATGCACTCTCATCGTCACATATCTCATTTTTCAGCATATCAACACAACAGGTGCGCGAGTGTGTTTAAAAGAGTTGTACGAGTCAAAGTACGACCCTCTCTCTGTATCATATACTGTCTTGTCAGGTAAGAACGGGTTTATGGAATTCTCGTTTTAGTAACACATAGGTTTTACTGATTACTCACAACTAGTTCATTATAAATGCAAAAAAAGATAACGAGAGTCATTTCATTAATAGAGGAAGGCGATCTTTCTAAATATTAGCTCCCTGGAAGTCGTTCAATGTTTTTGCTACTGATTATCCTATGTATGCGCTTAATTTGGCGTCGTCAGTTTTGTTTCCGTCTTTTCCTCCTGCTAAGCGTATCGGCCGCACATAAACAGTTGGAATGACGTTTTTGAAGCTGCATCGTCCCCAGTCGCTCGCGTTGCTGGCCTCCCTTTCTCGCGCTTCTCGATTGTTTCGTTCTCCCTACTAAGCCTTGGGAAAGCCTGTAAAAAAGGCACTCTTTAAGGGACCAAATGTGTGGGGGTTTCTAAACTGCACAGCCGTTTTATATCTTTATCACAGATATTTGCCAGCCAAGATGGAGTTATTTTGGTGGCTACTGTTACTTCACAAGTCGTGCATGCGCCTCGTGGCTGACCGCTGAGTCAAACTGTTCTACGAAGAGTTCCAATTTGGTAACGGTTCACAATCAAGAAGAAAATGTCTACATTCAACACCGTCACAACGGAGAGAGATCTTGGATTGGACTCAATGACCGAAGTGTGGAGGGCTCCTTTGTGTGGACAAACAAAAAAATAAGTAGTTTTAGGTTCTGGGCCCCACAGCAACCAAATGACTGGAAAAACGAAGACTGTGTTCACACTCTTGGCGCCAAGCATGGTTACACTTGGAATGATGTGCCATGTACTAACTGTTACAACTACACTTGTTTTAAAGGTACTAAGCGTAGCACTATGAAGATATATAACCGTATATATCTTAATCTTCATTTTCCAGATAATGAATCTACTGAGTTAAAACTACATTCAAAAAGGTCGAAACACAATGACAGCATGTTAGGCAGATGGTTAGACAGATTGCTTGAAAAGGAAGAGAGGGTGGGAAACAATTCGTATACATTTGCATTAAAAAAAAAATGTTCATTGACCTAATAAAAATGGCCGCAAAAGCCTGAAATCAGCGTAATCAAAAGAAGAACGAGAAAGCGTTCATACGTTGGAACCACGGGGAAAGTCGCGCTAACCTCCGCTTACTTTTTAACCCGGTTTTCTAAACACCTCTTTGCAAATTATTAACGAACATAAGTACATACGTTAACTCAGGGCACGCTTACGACCCTTTTTGCAAGTTCCTTTTTTCAAACATTTTTTTTTGCCTTGCCAGTGTACGTCAATTACCCAACTACACCACAGTATATTCTTTTTAAACAGGCTTCGTTAACTAGAAAAGTCACGTTGTTTGACAAGAAGCCTCTGTGTGCTTACTTTTTAGACTTGGACGAATGTACCACTGGTTCCCATTCCTGTGACGTCAATTCCGTTTGCCAGAATACCGTGGGTTCATACAAATGCTCGTGTAATGCTGGGTACACAGGAGATGGAAAACCTTGCAATGGTATTTGAGATACAGTTGATCCTCCATGTGCGACCACCTCTTCAAAGCGACCCATAAGTCGAGATGGAGCTATACATATCGTAACTTTGAAATTGCACACAATAAATTGTTTTTCAAAGAGACGACCTACTCTAATCTGAAGGTTGTTAAACAAGACGACGAAACCATTGAAGGTGCAATTTTTGTATGCAAAAGCTCAACACTGTCATGTCATTTTGGAAAAAAAGCCTAAAACCATATTTATTAAAACATAAAAACAACAAACAAGCAAGAACAAAAAAAATGGATACATTCACCTTAGCGACCAGGTGTAAACCATCAGGTAGATTTAATATTAGTTATTCTAACGCTTTACGTAACTTACAATTCTCATGCAGATATCGACGAGTGTTCTATCAACTCTCACAGCTGTGACGTTAATGCGGTTTGCAGCAATACTGTTGGATCGTACGCATGCGCATGTAAAGCAGGATTCAGAGGCGATGGAAAAACATGCTCTGGTAAGCTGTTGCGGTGTTGTGAAACACGCTTCCAAAACAATGTGTGTGCCTGTATTTTTTGTATTCGATCTTTACATTTAAACATGTAGAAGATGATCGGCATATAACCTCAATGGTTCGAAATAACAATTACAGTAAAACTAGAAATACGTATCTCTCGCAAAATTTCACTAAACTCGGTCTTGCACAATTGTCAAGCCCAGCCGGTTAGAAATTGATTGGGTGACCAGGCTCTAATCTGTCGTTAGACCTGTGACTCCTTTCTCTCCTGTCTTCTTTTTTGTTTCTTTATTCTATTTGATTTTTAAATGCGTATTTTAAAGCATATTCAGCATCATTTCGGCTTAACCTCAAATCAAAGATAGATTTTAGGGACGTTCAAGGTTTTTTTTCCGTAAAACCCAAACTGAAACGCACGTCCGACAAACATATCATAACGAAATTGATCTATAGTATGCCAACCGAGCAAACGGGGTACTTTGCTGTTATATTTAATAAAAATTCGTATTGAATCGTTATGCATTTCAGAAAGGAAATTTACTCCCTCGAATACTCCCTCTTACTATAGCTGTTCTGATATAGAGCTAAGAAGAGGAAGTCTCACGTATAAGCTATCGTGAGACGTCCTCGCCTTTTGAGATTCTTTCCTTTCGAATTGTGTTTATTACGTGTAATTTAATGTTTCCCCCTCCCTTTATATATAAAAAAGGCAAAAAAAAAAACGGATTACCTATAGTATATAGTTAAGCAGGGTTAGCGCATACAGAAAATGAGGTAAATGACCTTATTGATCTTGATTTTGCTGCATCACTAAACAAGAAGGCTTCCTCACTTTTTTCGCCAGATATCGACGAGTGCTCTACCAACTCTCACAGGTGTGACCTTAATGCGGTGTGTAGTAATACTGTTGGATCTTACGCATGCGCATGTACAGCAGGATTCACAGGGGATGGATTCACATGCACTGGTGAGCCGTTTGAGTTTAATTACGTTTGTATGATATGTTCGCTTTTAGATTGAACACCAACGGCAGCAATGCAAGAGTCTTTTGTGCTCTTCTCGCTTTTTACAGTTAAAGTTTTGGTTTGGTAGGAGTTTAAATTAATTTTAATATTGACTGTATGTAGTAAGCAAATAGAAAAGCGGAGCCAAGCAGCCAGTTCATATTATCGGATACGTGGAACGATGGTGATTGCTCAAACCTGCGATCATTTTTTAGGCTTAATAATATACTCGAAAAAAACTACTCAATTCCTATTGGCTGAGAAAGGAGTGCATTTCTTCTGTTACACGAGTGCAAATTTGTAACACAAGTGCACATTACAAACGGTTTCTGATTGGTTGAAAACAAAAAAGAAACCAGCAAGAACCAGTCAGATTAGAGCTGTTTTAAAAACAAAATTTAAGAAAACGGCCATGGTTTTCAGCAAACGACGATTTGATTTCATGTACGCAAAACAACAATAGAAAAGTTAAAAAAAAATTCCAAAAACTTAAACAGTGAAAAGAACGTCCTTCCGGCTAAATGAGAAACTAAACAAGCTACTTATAACGGACTACGCTAAAGTAGAAAATAAAGAACCAAAAAGGTGACAACCACACGCAAGCCATGACAGCTCCGCTTTTCAGGCATTTAAATGAACACGGATACAAGTTTTCCATGATAACAACAAGGACTTCAAGTCACGTCATTCATTTTTTGGACGAGGAAGGGGTCCGGTTGCTCTCTTTAAGTCTTTTGTCGAGCAAAGACCTCTATTAAAACATCCATGCGATTGTCTGTTTTTTTCTTCCTCGGTAGCAAACGAAACCGAAAATTTAAAGATCTGGTTCAAACTAAACCAATGTGCGAAAATACCATAACTAACATTTTAATGAAAGTGTCCGTAAGTGGTAGTACTAGCCTTAAAGAAAGTGAAAAAAAAGTTTACGAATCATGGTGTAAGGAAAACAACAGTCAGAAAGCTGACGAAAGCCAACCTGATATATTGTAACTTCAGAATATACCACCACTGTCAAAAGCCAAAGAGGTATAAATTTCCTCAACGACTACAATGAAGCCGACGAAGAAGAGCGACGATGACTCTCTCTTGCAATATTCAAATGAATAATAAAAACCCCAGCGCTGAGAAAAAACAAATATTATATTAATACTGGCGGGAGTTTCCGACATCACAACAACTGTGGCTCCACTCACCCATCTAAAAAAGGCCGCAAAAGTCTGAAGTCGGCGTAATCAAAAGAAGAACGAGAAAGCGTACATACGTTGGAACCACGGGGAAAGTCGCGCTAACCTCCGCCGCTTATACTTTTTACCCGGTTTTCTAAACACCTCTTTGCAAATTATTAACGAACATAAGTACATACGTAAACTCAGGGCACGCTTACGACCCTTTTTGCAAGTTCCTTTTTTCAAACATTTTTTTTCCTTGCTAGTGTACCTCAATTACCCAACTACACCACAGTATATTCGTTTTAAACAAGCTTCATTAACTAGAAAAGTCACGTTGTTTGACAAGAAGCCTCTGTGTGCTTACTTTTTAGACTTGGACGAATGTACCACTGGTTCCCATTCCTGTGACGTCAATTCCGTTTGCCAGAATACCGTGGGTTCATACAAATGCTCGTGTAATGCTGGGTACACAGGAGATGGAAAACCTTGCAATGGTATTTGAGATACAGTTGATCCTCCATGTGCGACCACCTCTCCTAAGCGATCCATAAGTCGAGCTACACATATCGTAACTTTGAAATTGCACACAATAAATTGTTTTTCAAAGAGACGACCTACTCTAATCTGAAGGGTTCTTAAACAAAGCGACGAAACCATTGAAGGTGCAATGTTTGTGTGCAAAAGCTCAACACTGTCATGTCATTTTGGAAAAAAGCCTAAAACCATATTTAGTAAAACATAAAAACAAAAAACAAATAAGAACAAAAAAAATGGATACATTCCGACCTTAGCGACCAGATGTAAACCATCAGGTAGATTTAATATTAGTTATTGTAACGCTTTACGTAACTTACAATTCTCATGCAGATATCGACGAGTGTTCTATCAACTCTCACAGCTGTGACGTTAATGCGGTTTGCAGCAATACTGTTGGATCGTACGCATGCGCATGTAAAGCAGGATTCACAGGCGATGGAAAAACATGCTCTGGTAAGCTGTTGCCGTGTTGTAAAAAACGTTTCCAAAACAATGTGTGTGCCTGCATTTTTTGTATTCGATCTTTAACCTCAATGGTTCGAAATAACAATAACAGTAAAACTAGAAATACGTATCTCGCAAAATTTCACTAACTCGGTCTTGCACAATTGTCAAGCCCAGCCGGTTAGAAAATGATTGGGTGACCAGGCTCTAATCTGTCGTTAGACCTGGGACTCCTTTCTCTCCTGTCTTCTTTTTTTGTTTCTTTATTCTATTTGATTTTTAAATGCGTATTTTAAAGCATATTTACCATTATTTCGGCTTAACCTTAAATCAAAGATAGATTTTGGGGACGTTCAAGGTTTTTTCCGTAAAACCCAAACTGAAACGCACGTCCGACAAACATATCATAACGAAATTGATCTATAGTATGCCAACCGAGCAAACAGGGTACTTTGCTGTTATATTTAATAAAAATTCGTATTGAATCGTTATGCATTTCAGAAAGGAAATTTACTCCCTCGAATCACGCCCCTTCTTACTATAGCTGTTCTGATAGAGAGCTAAGAGGAAGTCTCACGTATAAGCTATTCTGAGACGTCCTCGCCTTTTGAGATTCTTTCCTTTCGAATTGTTTTTATTACGTGTAATCAGAAACTCATAAGGGGTTGAAACGTGCAACTCTCATATGTTTGCTTTTTGCGATGCTCGTGCTTCACGTAGTTTACGTTCCCGTACCCGCTTAAAAAAATGGCCTACTAACCGGGGGAAAACTCCCAAAAGCCGAGAAACCTTTTAAAGGTCGAAACCAGGAATCTTACCGAAATACTGAGCATGATGTTATTGCCTTGCCACCCGGGCCAAATGTAACATTGTGAAACCCACTGACGCTCTCGCAACTTCTTGAAGTTGTCACTTCAAAAGAAAGATGCCTCGTTGACCCTTTGAACAGTAAACTAAAAACTGCAAATAGGCTTTTAAAATTCTTATATTACAAGTCTAGAATAAACTGTAAAAAATATTTTCGAGTAAAATTCATTAGCTTCGTACAGAAAAGTGTCCAAACCCTGAACCTGACATCTTCGCAAAAAGTGATGCGTGTAATGAATGAGAGAAACATTTAAGCTTAAATTCAGCTTGGATGTTGTAGTCAAGATCGTGTGTTGAGCTAATTTTATGAATGAACAAAGTCAAAACAATAGACAGAGAAGCCGTTTCTTGAAAATTTTCATTCAAAATCCAAAAGGTTAATCTTTTAAAGCAATTCGGAAAACACTATTTGGATCGTGGATCCGTTCACGCAAGTGTACGGAGCCCTAAAAAAGTGAAATCGACTGAGCACATGGCAAAACTCAACACAAAATCCATCTCAAATCAGGGTACATTTTGTAATTTTTCTTTAACACCGAAGAGAAAAATTTATAAAACGTCTATGAAACATTTAAAAATACATAAATTCCGTTTCAAAAACGTAATTGTCTTGGCAATAGAGTGCAAAATGTACCTGAAAATTCAGTAAAAACTTCGCTGTCTTGGTTGCATTTAACGGACCATGCACTCCGACGTGAAGAAAACAAGGTTGAATTCCTCGAAGGACGATTTCTTGATGAAAAGCTTCCCTTCCTCCACAAAAAGAAAGCTGAGTATTCTTTTGAACTTTCTCTTTCCACTTTTTGTCTTTTAACGGTGTATTTTTAACCTTGAAATGCAGAACTCTTGCCTCAAAACATCTGCATGGTGATAGTGCGGCAGCCATTTTGTTGAAAATGGATATCTGTCACTAAGGTTTCCTAAGACGGTAAAAGTGAATATTCAGGAGCATTGAATGCAAGTTACACGTTTCAACCCCTTATGCGTTTGTGGTGTAATTTAATGTTTCTCCCTCCGTTTATATGTAAAAAAGGCAAAAAAATCGGATTACCTATAGTATATAGTTAAGCGGGGTTAACGCATACAGAAAATGAGAGTAAATGACCTTATTGATCTTGATTTTGCTGCATCACTAAACAAGAAGGCTTCCTCACTTTTTTCGCCAGATATCGACGAGTGCTCTACCAACTCTCACAGCTGTGACGTTAATGCGGTGTGTAGTAATACTGTTGGATCTTACGCATGCGCATGTACAGAGGGATTCACAGGGAATGGATTCACATGCACTGGTGAGCCATTTGAGTTTAATTTCGTTTGTATAATATGTTTGTTTTCTGAGTGAACAACAACGACAGCAATGCAAAAGTCTTTTGTGCTCTTCTCGCTTTTTACAGTTAAAGTTTTGGTTTGGCAAGAGTTTAAATTAATTTTGGTATTGACAGTATGTAGTAAGCACATAGAAAAGCGGAGCCAAGCAGCCAGTTCATATTATCGGATACGTGGAACGATGGTGATTGTTCAAACCTGCGATCATTTTTTTAGGCTAATAATATACACGAAAAAAACTACTCAATTCCTATTGGCTGAGAAAGGAGTGCATTTCTTCTGTTACACGAGTGCAAATTTGTAACACAAGTGCACATTACAAACGGTTTCTGATTGGTTGAAAACAAAAAAGAAACCAGCAAGAACCAATCAGATTAGAGCTGTTTTAACAACAAAATTTAAGAAAACGGCCATGGTTTTCAGCAAAGGACGATTTGATTTCATTTACGCAAAACAACAATAGAAAAGTTAAAAAAAATTCCAAAAACTCAAACAGTGAAAAGAACGTCCTTCCGGCTAAATGAGAAACTAAACAAGCTACTTATAACGGACTACGCTAAAATAGAAAATAAAGAACAAAAACGGTGCCAACCACACGCAAGCCATGACAGCTCCGCTTTTCAGGCATTTAAATGAACACGGATACAAGTTTTCCATGATAACAACAAGGACTTCAAGTCACGTCATTCATTTTTTGGACGAGGAAGGGGTCCGGTTGCTCTCTTTAAGTCTTTTGTCGAGCAAAGACCTCTATTAAAACATCCATGCGATTGTCTGTTTTTTTCTTCCTCGGTAGCAAACGAAACCGAAAATTTAAAGATCTGGTTCAAACTAAACCAATGTGCGAAAATACCATAACTAACATTTTAATGAAAGTGTCCGTAAGTGGTAGTACTAGCCTTAAAGAAAGTGAAAAAAAAAAGGTTTACCAATCATGGTGTAAGGAAAACAACAGTCAGCAAGCTGAAGAAAGCCAACCTAATATATTGTAACTTCAGAATATATATCACCATTGTCAAAGGCCACAGAGGTATAAATTTCCTCAACGACTACAATGAAGCCGACGAAGAAGAGCGACGATGACTCTCTCTTGCAATATTCAAATGAATAATAAAAACCCCAGCGCTGAGAAAAAGCAAATATTATATTAATACTGGCGGGAGTTTCCGACATCACAACAACTGTGGCTCCATTCACCCATCGGCGATGGCAGCGTCCAAAGAAAACAAATTTCCTCCTTCTTTTTCGGGTTTAATTATCAAAAATTTCTCCAGGAATCCAGCTATGATGAATATACTCTCCTTAAACAGAAAACAGGAGCATCCACAGACTTCATATCAAACATCGAAAACGTTCGAATAATAATAATAATAATAATAATAATAATAATAATAATAATAAAAACCCACGCATCAGGCCACCAGTCGCTCGTAAAGGAAGCAGCTAAGTATGCTGAAGAACTCAACATCACCCTTCAGCTTGATACCCTAAATCCCGTGTGTGTTACAACAGATGGAAAGGTGGTAACCGCAGCAAGAGCTGGGAATCTGTTGAAGCAATCTCAAGAGAAGCAGTTCTTGGAGAGCGCTAAAGACAAAAAGTGGCAAGGAAAGTTATTCCGTATCAGATGGGAAGATGAGAGCCTAAGCACAGCCAGCTGCTTTGCATGGTTAAAAGGTTGGGCTACATGCCCTACACATACCATCGCGGGCATGTATGAACTGTATGAGCAGTTGTTACCTACGAAGCTCTACACAAAGGAGAAGACGCAAACCTCCACCGACGGCGAAGTTCTATGCAGGTTATGTGGGAAGGTAGCTGAGAGCGTTGCACATGTACTGGCTGGATGTTCCTCCCTGGCACAAACCAAGTACCTATACAGCCATAATGCAGCTTTGAAGATTCTGTTTTTTGAGCTCCTGCGAGAGCATGGGTTAATGGAAGAGGTTCCACCATGGTACTCACCGGTGATGCCAAAACCAGCCTACCAGAACACCACGAGTGAGGCGTTTTGGGATATTCCCATCTATGCAGAGCACAACGAAGTTAGAGCAAACCGGATCGACGCGCGACTTGTCAACCACGAGAGGAAAGAAGTCTGCACAATTGAAATGAGCTGCCCATGGATTGAGAGTAGAGCTAAGAAAGATGAGGAAAAGACACTCAAGTATGGGCCCATGATGTGGGAGCTGAAGCAGAGATACAATGGTTACAGGGTTGAACAGTTCAACGTAATAATTGACGTACTGGGGGGTTACTCTAAACACCTAGAGAAGTCGGTGAGGAAGCTACTTGGAGCGAGAGCACGGAGCGTACTTGAGCGAATGCAGAAGTCGGTCATCTCAAACACTTTAAACATTGCCAGAACATAAATACTTAGTTAGGGCGCTATGGACTTCAGTTTTTAGGTTTTTGTTTTTTCTCTAGAAATCTAGAAACACAAGCTTGCTGACGTTTTTATTTAGATTTTTTAGAACATTAGAGTGTGATATTATTATAAATATGTTTTTAGTAGAGATAGCGAAGGTTTTACAGAGTATCAGAATTTCATAATAATCTAAATTGGCTTTTTAAGTAGAGAGATTTATATCACTATGTATAAGCTTTTAGTAGAGATAGCGAAGGTTTTACAGAGTGTCAGAATTTAATAATATTCTAAATTGGCTTTTTAAGTAGAGAGATTCTATCACTATGTATTTTAGGATTGTATTAGGTTTCGTATCGACCTTTTTTTACTTCTAAGTATAGCTTCTCAAGTGGTGTAGGTTACGCTATGCGCCCTACACTACTCATAATGTGGACAGCATTCCAAAGTTTCATACTGCGACATAATTATTATTATTATAATGATAATAATAATAGTGATGATGAGGATGATAACAAAATTAGTTTCCACTAAAAACTAAACGGACCAAAACTGTTTACAAACTCATCAAAATAGCCAACAAAACTATTTACTTGAGATGTAAACATCAAGACTTCATATCAAACATCAAAAACCTTCAAAGAACGTTTGAATCAGTTATGCATATTGTTTAAATTCAACTACTTATTAGTAATTCGCCTTTTGAACGGATGAATGGTCAGGACCACGAATAATGAGTGCAGCTAAGGTGTCTCTCCCAACTTTAAAAACTTTTAATTATTATTACTATTATTTATGTTTTCAGACGTAGACGAATGCACAGCTGGTACGCATGATTGCCATAAGTCAGCAACTTGCACGAATATCAAAGGTTCTTTTACTTGTTCATGTAACCCTGGTTACACGGGCGACGGCAAAACCTGTAGCAACGGTAAGCTGTCGTAACCTACTAGGAACTAAATCTATCTGGATTGCTTGTGTTGTAAATCTAACTTTGTCTTCCTTAAAAACACATATTGGCTAGTAAGCACACTTCGATGATCAATGCTCATAAAAGGATAAAGAAAAAGAAATGAAAATGTAATTGGGAGCTGGAGGCACATTGATTGGTAGGAGCTACAGGTAAAGTGTCTCCTAATTGGTCGCAAGAAACAATGATATTTCATTCTTCCAATTGTTGCGTTTGAGGTACGAGAACGCAACCCCTAATTTTTGTTGGGTGTTCTGTGCATTATTGGATGTCCTGTGCAATTAATAAGGAAGATTTTTTTGAAATTGCATTTTCGTCGTCGTCGTCGACACACATTTGCTTCGCTTTTGAGGCGCTTGCATACGTTTTGCCTCACTTTGACGCGCTAACTCATGTGGCACTTCTTGTGTCCTCGGCGTTCATCTTTCAAAGGTTTGCTGAGGTCTGATATTCTGTGAAGTCAAAGCTTCGTAAAGCGCTCATCTTTTAAAAAGTTTGCTGAATCTTCGTAAAGCGTACATCGATCTGTGTTTGCTGAATCGTCCAAAGCGTTCATCTCTCAGGAGTTTGCTGTTAAATTTTACTTTGGATTCAGAGCCTTCATACTTTTTCGCATGGTTCATCACTGTCTTTGGAAAATTTTTGCGACTCCTGGTGCATGCATCAAACCGGGTCTAGTTCGGAGGCCGTTGTGCCAAAAAGTAAATTTACCGAGTTATGTAGCTCGGCGGCCGTTGTGTCAAAGTAAATCTACCGAGTTGTGTAGCTCGGCAGCCGTTGTGCCACAAAGTAAATCTACCGAGATGAGAGAAGCTCGGCGGCGCCATTTGATCATGACTTGTGATATTTTCGGCACCGGACAAACGAACACTTTAACTCTACGTTATTTATTAGGAAAAACTTGTAAACCAGCCAACAGTAGCCCCACTCTCGACTCACTGAAATCAACACGCGCGACCAAATTACTGGAAAAGTTATTGACGTGAGCCGCACACACGTTCCCTTGAAGGCTTTGACAGGGGCAAAGTTTGAATTCAGATGTGAAAGCTTTTAAAACAGTAAATTCAATGTAATTCATTTTGTCAACAAGTTGATGATTGGATGCTCTTAAAAATAACAGAGAAAATTATCCGAAGAAATGTTTTTGAAGAAAGAAAAAGAATCCCGGGTTAAGCACTAATCGGCCTTTGAGCAACTGCGCCCTGTAACTCACGCCAGTAAAACAAAATGTTCCATTTACACGCCCGACGCACTCCGGCCAATGTCTCCTCCGATTACAAGCACTTGACACCGGCTTACTGTAGTTTGCGAAACGAAATGGAGCGAAACGAAAGGAAACGAAACGAAATGGAACGAAACGAAATGAGAATCTGTAGTTTGCGAAATGAAAATCTGTCGTTTGCGAAATGAAAATCTGAAGTTTGCGAAATGAAAATCTACATTTTTGAAATGAAAATCTGTAGTTTAGGAAATGACAATTTGCTTTTCTCGCTGCGTCTACTCGGATATTCTAAACAGAAATCCCCCCCCCCAAAAAAAAAGCCGTTTGCCCCCAGAAATTCAGATTGCGCGGAATGTTTGACGTTTTCG